TAGGCAGCAAATACATAGTTATCTACATAGGAAAAAAAGAGAGCTTCCTTCATCAGCTACATTTAGATCATTTCCCTGGGATATAACTCCATTTACCTGGTATTTATTATCTAAGGGGAGGAGACCACGTCCCACAGCAAACATTAGAAGCTTTACAAAAACGTAGACTTCTTAGTAGGCCCATGGAAACAGCAGCTCTGCCTAACGTGGTTAGACAGAGTAGCTACAGTTGGCATTTTTGTGTGGACTGGAGTTATGAGCTTTCCTCTCTGTCATATAGGGCCTAGTCCTAACCAACTTCATCCTGAATCTGCAAGAATAACGTTCATTAGAGTAAGATTTGGAGATCGGGATCATAATACAATGAAAAAAGCTTAAATAATGGGAAAGTACATGCTATTTATTTAGTTTCAAATGGATTTTGTTTTTAGCTGATGCAACTCTCTTAGTCCAATTCAACAAGGCAGTGGATGCAGTTCACTTGTAGATGTGCTCTCAGGTTGTAATCACTGCATATATAAGACACTACCCAACTTCAAACTATGTTTAATTCCTCTCTTGAAGTTATACTTCATTGCTTTGATACTTCCACCCTTCAAGAGAGAACTATATTTTTCTCTCCAGTTGAAAATCTATGTTGACCTTTATTATTAAGGGTACTCCATTAGCTTATGGTCAGGGTATGTCAAGTATTGTAATATGATGCACAGTGCATCTTTATTTTAGCTTTCCTGCCTGAAAGAGCCCTATGCTATTAGTCACAAGGTGGCTTAGGCAGAACTGGGGGGGTTTATAGGCAGATCTGAGGGATGCATGTGTGCTTTCATGTCAGTAACGGGTGCAGGAGCAGGGCCACCGAGTTGGTATTTCCAGCAAATTACAAAGTAAAGATGGCACGAGCAATTTAAATATTATTTATAATTGACCTTCATGCCTGTTTTTAATATTCACTCTGCTGAACGTTTAAAAAAAAAGGCAATTAAAAGACCCATATAACGTTAAAACCCTTGATAAATGTAATAAACACATGACATATTCAAAAGCGAGAATCTATGTCCCATTAGGAGAGAAAAAGAAAGATGAGAGCAACATATGGCAGTATAATTAGCATGATTAGGGAAGCACATCAACAGAATTTATGCTGCAGGGAAAATGTAATAAGAAACCAACACACTTTCCTCACTGCCTTGAAAACTGCAAATATCGTGATCTGAAAAGGAGAAGGCATAGAAAGGCTCTCTGGCATTTAAAGCTGTAACTTGTGTTCTTCTGTCTTTAATAAAAAGAGGCACACGGCCATCTGCAAACCATTTATTTTTTGCAGCGTTCACATTGTCCCATTGCTTTGATTAATAAGCAGCAATATTACACCTCAGCTGCTTTTCAGAAAGATGCTATTTTGGAAACCTAATTAATACTCATTCCGCAGTGAGCTTGAGGTGTTTGTTAGTGCCAGATACCGAGTCCTTATTTGTTTCTCATTATGCGGAGAGTATTGCTCCTCAATGCCAGCGTTTTCCTTTTGCATTTTGGAATAGCCTTTGGACACCCTCCCGGCTCCGGCGGAGCCAGTGACACCTGTCGTGGTTACCGCATCGCGCCCGTTGCGCCTGTTGCAGACACCAGCGCCGGTTGTTTGCGCCGACAGACTGGGCTGGGGCACAGCAAACAGCCCTGCCGTTTTCTGAACAGTTGGGCCACAGTGAAAAGCGACATTCAGAAACTTGGCAGTGCCATTTGATTTCCAGCTTACCACTAAGGGTCAGTATATACTAAGTAAATGAGACATTATAAATGTGAAACATAATGTGCTTGATTTAACAGTGGTGCTGTGAAAGGTGCAGGAGATGAATGACCCTCTCCTCAGGCCCTGCAAACCTATAGCAGAAACAGCCCTGCTGTTAACATTGAACATATATAAATTCAGTCAGACGACTTTGCTGTATGCAGAAAATAGCACCCCCCATTTCTTGCTCGAGATGTGCCTGACATGCTGGACACCACCTCCCTGGAGGGGAAAGCAGCAAGCACAGCAACGCCTAAGAGGCATTGGGGCTTATTTTGCTGACGGGCATAATGCCCTACAGGAAGAGGTCAAATTAATTGCATGTGTGGGGAACCAAAGACACCACAGAAACTCTCCTTGCAGCTCAAGGAAAGAGAAGAGCTGTTGGAAAAGCAGAAAGGAAGAACTCCTTTAAATAGAGCAGGTTTTGAGTCCAGCCCTGCCAGCAGAAGGCCCGCCCTGCGGTGCTGCCTTGGGCACCTCAGGGATAAGAAGCCTTATAAAAAGCCCATCTTTCAGACAGAGCAAAAGTGATGAAGCAAGAAATTCAACACCTGGTAGCAGGATGACATGAGGTTTCCTGCTATACACCATGTTTTCCCAGGAGAAAGCTTCCTGCTGGCCAAAACCTGTGGCCATCGTCAAATAAAATTCCTCTGACTAGAGTCGAAATGATGCTTTAGGAAGGCCTTTTTAATCTTGGCCCTTACTTCAAATCTATTTAAGCATTATCTGTTTTTTGCACCTGGAGAATAACCAAGTCATATCATCCGGTCAGTCAAGCAGGAGAATTGGTTTCCAAGCACTCTATTAGCACAAGATCTCAATAAATTTCTCTGAAGGGAAGAGCTTATCAAGAAATAACAGGTGTAGCATAGCAAAGCTGCAAAAATGTAGTAAAAATAATAATAACTTTAAACTACTTCACACTGACATGTTGAGGGATATTGTAAAGAGATAGAGATCAGTCCGAAGGGCAGTGCTCTTTAGTCTTGTGTGGGAGTTCATTCTGCAAGAAACATTTCTTGTAGTATATGCAAAAAGTGAGGAAAATGGCAGACATATAGCACAGTAAGGTAGTAGATCTAAGAACCTCTGAGGGGGAAAAAAAAAAATCCAAAATCAGAGCCGTCATTAAAAAAAGGAAATATGTTGATTACTCGCCTGCCTTTTCCTTGTTGCTTTTTCCACCTTCGAAATGTCATGAGCCTGTTCATGGAAAAAGGACTAACTAAGTCCATCTTTAAAGACCCTGCTGTCCTAAACCTGTGACAAATCCCTAGCAAGAAGCAGACTTTTTATTTGAGAAAGCAGCCCTAAGCTGAAGGAGCCATTCCACGTGGACGTTCCTCTGCACAAAAACCACTGAACCCCCATTATGCGTTCCTCTGCACAAAAACCACTGCACCACACTTATGTCTAAATGAACATCCTATTTATTTCATAGCCTTTAAGTTGGCTTTATTTACAGGAGGATACAGCTCACGCTCGGCAGTTAAGCTCTGGCAGTACTGCTGTCAGGTCACTAACACGTTTGCAAGTTACACTTTTAGGTCATACAAAATGGAAGAAAAAAACGACTTTAAAATAACTGTTTTATCTCCGGGGCGCGGGAATCACGGGACAGGTTTGCAAGGGGCTGCACAACCCGGTGAAGAGCCGTGCGGCCGCGCTGTCCCACCACGCGGGGCCCGCGGCCGCCGGGCAGGCAGCCAGGGCCTGCAGGCCGCTCAGTGGCCCCAATCCTCCTCTCTTTCGCCGACGCCTTCGTCCTCCTCCGGAAAGGCGGAATCGTTCGGGCTTTTCAGGTGCTTAATCCCTGCAAGGAGAAAAGTCAGAGTTAGGTTTTTTTCTTTTCAGCCTAGGAAGCAATCAAACCAACAACCAGGCCCAGCCTCATCTGCTGAGCTCCGCCTTGGGGTGAGAGCAGAGTTCAAGGAGACAAGACCAAGCGAAAAAGAAGATGGAGTAAAGAGCCCGAAGGACAAGAGTTGTTGTGTTCAGAAGATCTAAACCAGTAAACACACAGCACTGGCTGCTTTTGGGGCCCCTGGTTTTTGGCAGTCAGAAGCTCCAGCCAAAGATGCCTGTTTCCATGCCTGAATTCAGTTCCTGCTGTCATTACTGTCATAACACCCCCAGTACTTACTTAGCAAGCGTGCCCTTTGATACTCAGCCCATTTCACTCATTTTTGCTTTACACTTTACACTACATTTTACATTTTTTGTTTTCCAATTAAGTATCAACAATAAGTAAAGAAATACTTCGGCTGTTCAGCTATCACCCAGTGGGCCTATTTAGCAGCCCCTATGCTATGAGTAAGGCAAACACTTCTAATGCAATTTTACTTTAGTTTAATGGGTATTCATTTCAAAATGAAATTATGTTTGTACTGCAAGTTCATCTCCTGTGGTCTAGCAAGGCCATGTTTTATGCATCTATAATACCTGTCTAACATATATTATACAGTAGTTCAGGCAAGAATTATTAGGAACCAGAATACGTTATTTTCTGGGGTTGATTTTAGAATATGAGTCAGGAATAATTAGGGACAGAAATAAGGGCACAGCATATGCAATCAATATGAAAAAGTTTCATAAAACAATATTTTTTGCTAAGAGTAAGGACTTTTGGGTATACGGCCAATTGCAATTTTTAATGTGACAATTTTAGTAAACTGAGAGCAATGACATCAGTGTGTATCACCCATTAATACATACACAGTACCCAATACATACCCAATAATACATAGCAGGCAACTATAAGTGTTATTTAATGATTTTTCACAAACTCTGTTTTACAGCCTGCCTTCACCTCTGCCGGTAATTTAATAGTGCAGTGTCACTTAGAAGTAAAGATTCATAGGGTTTCCTGCACAGACCTGTAGATGCACAGGCCTCATAATGCCGTGATTTATAATCCTCAAAATGTTACACCGGTTTGCCAAAATTAACCAACTCTTTATCAGTGGTATTTCAACCAGACAATGAAAGAAACTAGAGTTGACAGCAGAAAACAACTCTATTGTCTAGATTCAACTAGATAATAAAATAAGTCAACATGAATTGGTCTACAGGTAAAGAAGCTCCTGTCAATAAGATATGATGATAGAAAAGAAAGACGGCTTTTCCCAAGCTCTTCTGTGCATGCGTAATAAAAAAAAAAATGCAGTAAATCATAGCAGTCATCCTCTTAGGTTAAAAAGCCTAACAACTAGTCCCACAGTAGTGCAGTAAACCGCAGTAGCTACCATGAATGGTCACAATATCTTCAAGCTAGTGCGTCGGCACATTTGTACCAATACCCAGCAATGCACTGGCACATTTATCCACGGTCCCTCTAAGCTAAGACAGTTTAGGAGAAGAGGATGTTACGCTGGCTTCAAGCGTCACCCTGGCGGGGCTGGTTGAGCTGCCTTGGTCCATGTGAAAAACACCAATAAGCCAGGAAGGAGGTAGAGCTCTGCTTATAGGAAGAGCTTTTTCTAAGCAGCTGAACCAGGTGTCACAGAGCTGGCACTGGTCATATCCATTATCCTTGTTTAGGACTCTCTAAAGCGTTTACTTTTTTGTAGTTGTAGTCTGGATAGCGCTTGGGCGAAGACGTTATTACTTGGGTCACCCAAACCATTTCTGTTACTGCAGGCATAGAGGTGCGTTAATTAAGTAGAAAGGGAAATGTATCCTTTAACTTTGCGGGCCTCACATTACACGGCTTTCCTAAGCCAGGAGGCCTCAGCACACTTGGGATCTGCCACTATCCCTCAGTGCAGCAGTACATTAACCCTGAGCAATAAATACAGCTTCTGAGGTTTTGCTTGTTAAAAATAAATAAAGAAAGAAAGAAAGAAAGAAGAAAAACACACAAACAAACAGGAATGACCATCTTGCTCTTTTTTTTCACCCAAAACCTGGGCCTGTCCTAACACCACCTTTTCAGTTCTTGCTCCCTTTTTGCTCTTCTTTTTTCACTCCTAACTCCAGAAGGAGGAGAGCTGTTTTTTTTCTCAGAAGGCTCATGTTTCACTGCAGGTAATTTAATCCCATTAATGCTGATGAAGAAGTCCTTAATGCCAAGCCATATTCAGCAGCCATGCACTAATACACTTTGAACTGGTAATGCCTTTTAGATGAAGTCACTGCCTCAAAGCATATTTCTAGATTACTTATAAATTGTAAGTTCAAATTAGACAGTTTTGCAGTCACATAATAAAATTTATGCTGTTTAATCAACAGCTTTTTTCAACCCATCTGACAAAAACACCAGATTAGAAGGCTAAGAAGTGTCACAAGATATGAAATAACCAAATGTTCCTGAATTAAATATCGTTCTTGAAATTAAAAAAAAAACTGTGATGGATTAAAGTAATTAAGTTGGATCCCCCACCTTATTTAACACTCTTTTTCTCTTTCCTTCTCCCTGCTTCGTTGCCCAAGGAATGGGCTGACATTTAGCAAAATCTGGTGAGGAGTCTGCTTGGTAATTTGAATTCCCTGAAGTTTAGAGGATTATTTAGTCTTATGATTTGGACCTGAGCCTCTCTCTATCAAAGAAACATTTCCATTTTTTCAAAACCTGTGGAAGCCCAACCTGAGCTTTGGCTTCTTGTTCACAGAAAAAAAAATAGTTGTTCAAAATCACTGAAATTCATTGAAAGCCATTTCAAATCCACATACATCAAATTCATTTCCTTTCTATACGCATTCAACATTTTGACATATGAAATGCATCCATTGTCCTATGGTTTATATATATTGCATTTGTTCATTGTCAGGTGCATGCAAAGTGTGCTGCTATACTTACTTAGACATAAGACATATGTCTTGTGTTCTCGCTGCCCCATTTGGTGATGATTTCACATACAAAGCTGTCATCATTGTGCATGGGAAAACTGAGCGCTTAGTCCCATACATGCTTTGGTAAAACACACTCTGGATACTTTGTTTTCTTGAGGAAAATTTCTCTGAGCAAACAGTTGATTTTTTTGTCCCTACTGTATAAAATTTTTGTCTTAAGTAACTGAAATACAGAAAACGATGCATTCCAGGTAAAGGTAGGACAGTAAATCAGAAAGGAAAGTGCTTATTTGCAAAATGCCTATTCTGAGTCTTCTATTGTTCCTCCTTCACATAAATGACTTGCCATCTATCTCCATGAGCTATATAATCAGTTCCTGAAACTTTCAATCCATTTTTACGTAAGTGCCTGTTTTAGACAGGCTTTCCTTGCAGAAAAATCAGAATCAGTACATGAAAATGTATTGGTATTTCCTAAAATCGCACACCCTAGTTGCCTCCCCAGCTGCTGCTCCTCCTGCTTTCCAGCTCCCTGACAGTGATGCTCACTGCCACCACCTGGCTTGATAATTTTTTCCGACTGCATCCTCCGCTTCCTTGGAGCAGGTTTCCCTTGGGCTCAGACCAAAAGCATTCCGGCTGCAGTGCCAAGTGCTCCAGCTCCATCTCTGCCTTTGACACTTCTTTGTCCTGGTTCTTCTGCCACGGCACTTCCCAAGGGAACCCTTTTCCCTTGTGCTCCTCTCCATCTCTCCCTCTGCTCACTGCAGGGGTGATTGATAGCAAATTATAAGAAATAACAAGGACCTTTAAAAAGCCTCTCAAGGAAAGAGTCAGTTCTTTCTATCCAAATTAGAGTTTGCAGAGGCCTAATTTGTTATCCCACCACTGCCAAACTCAAGCCCTTGATCTCTCCTCCTGTCTGAGATGCTTTCTTTGATCGCTCACTGTGGGTGATACCATCACGCTTTCTGGCCTTCAGGCCGACACACTTTCTCATTCTCCTCCAGGTACCACATTCCATTTTCATCTAAGTCTTGTGCATTTTTATTAGCTAATGCTTCCAATACAGTCTTTAGAATTTTTCCAGCAAAATAGTCACGCAGACTCTCTTCATTCTGGGCCTTCATTTCTGCTGTATTTTTGTCTCTGGACATTATGAATGCTGCCATGCTCCTGCATACAGAAACCTGTAGCTAAGACCATCCAGATAATTTCCTTGGCCATTTCCTAGGTCACCGCTGAGCAAGCTGCTCCTCCATCCTTTGCTGCCCTCCCAAACATTTCAGGCTAATGATGTTTCTCTTTGCTTTCAAAGCAAATTACATCTCTGTCCATATCGTCATCACCACCTGCTGTCACCTGGAATGAGGGCACAGTATGCTTTTGGTGCTCCCTTTTCTGGACTTTTAAGGAAGCATTTTCATCCTTTCTCCCACGTTGTACTGAATGCATCCACGGACGCTTCAATCTCTTCCCCAAAACTCTGTGTTGTGGGATTTAAAGAAGTGCAGCACCTGAGCCCCGGCTGCCGCGCTGCAGCACAGGGTATCTGGGCTCACGCAGGGCAGCCCAGTCCCTGTGTGTGTCCCACGGCAGCCGAGGGTGCTCCCAAGGGTATTAGAAAGTCATCTGTGAGATGACAACAAAAACCAGGCCCAGACCTCCACAATCACCATGCGTGCAAGTCAGCACGCAGCTAAAATAAAAGGAGATAAATAAAAGGAGAGGGACATAGAAAATTTTGCTTTATATATGTGAACAGTTTGCGCATACAGTGCCTGGCAATTCTCCAAAAAGTTAAGCTGTTCTTTGTCTGCAAAGTCTGAAAAGCACTGCTCTGAGGAACTAGCTCTAAACCACACGTGTGCCTGTGAACTCCCATTTACCAAGTTTTCATGGCAAAGTAAAACTAATCACTCTAAGCTTTACAAGCAACATGCAAAAGTGCATCCTCACCCCCTATGAAGCAAGGAGCCACGTGAATGTAGCCAGGCTGCTTACAGCTCTTTCCATTTCACA